GTGTGTGTGTGTGTATATATATATATATATATATATATTTTGTCTTTATGAAATATTTTTGAAATGAAATTTAATATATAATTATTTTTGCAATGTTTAATAATTCTTTGTAACACATTAAAGTTGCAACATGTAAAGTTTAAAACATGATTTATCTAGTTCTTATACTTTTTAGGGGTATGGAATCCATTTTCGTTGATTACATTCGACCAAACCTTTTTGGGTCTACCATTCCAAAAATAGCAGTGGCAAGTGTTTATGGTCTGTCAATGTTGACACTTGGTGGGCTCTTTTACTTTAACTACAGTGATGTTGGGCTTGTACAGGCAATAAAGATGTTTTGGAAATTGTGAAGAAAGATTTTGTTGTATTAGATTACTAGAAACCAGTATGTGTTCTGTTTCATTAACCTACAGCTTGTGAAAGTAAGATTTGTAAAAACAAAAAATTTGCTATGAATTTAAGCTTTCAATTTATATATTAAAAAAGCTAGGAAAATGACATGGTTTTGGTTTGTGTACTTGACATTGTAGGTGATAAAAATGGCCTAATGTGATTCTTTAAAGAGAATATTAAATTATAATTTTCAGTAATGTTAATTGTTCACATACTTTAAAATTATGGAAATTTCCTTATTTATTTAATAAGTTAACTTTACAAGGTAGTTGGAAACTAGAACCTGGTGGACCTTTGGCATTTTTAAATGAATGCATTCATTTAGTGACATAATAAATGTTTATAAAATTCTCTGTTGGTAAAGTTATTAGTTAAAAAAAATTACTGAAGTTCATTTTTTTATTTCTTAATAATCGTATCATTCTTTTTTCATAAAATAACACTGTATTAAATTATAAAAGGAATTAAGATGGGTTTTGTAATGTTAGATGTTGCTGTTTTTATATTATTTTGAATCTATAGATATTTCAGTTTTTAACATTTAAGCTGTTATCCTTGTGCTAATTTTGTGAAACACTGTTTTTGTTTGATCTTTCAACATGTAATCAGGGAACTGTACATAAAACAGTTATTTTGCCTAAAAAAGTATTAGTATACATGTTCTAAAATCCATAATAAAATCAATTGTTGAATCATTGCTGCATTATCCTTAGCAAATTACTACCTTAATAAACAGGTTCACATAACCAGAATTTATATAGTGCTTAATTTTTTTTTGACGATGATTTTTGTTTTTTTGTATGCTAGTGGTGGATAAATAAAATAGAGCATTCAAGTTATTGTGTTTGTAATTTACAATAAGTTAAAGTTAAATGTAAGTCATTGGTAGAATACAACAACAGAATAGTTATTGTATTTCAAAGATTAAAAAAGTTTCAGGTGAAGAAATTTTTGAAATATATTTTAGGTTATATTTTGCTTAGCTAGTTAAATTACTATTACACCATACCAACTTCATTGACTGGAGAAAACTATTAGTGGTAGAAACCTGATCTGTTTTATGAATTGAAACAAAATACTGTGTGTGTGTGTGTGTAAGGTTAAGATACTGAACAAGAAATAACATAGGAGCAAATTTGTATTAAAACCGAGTATCTAAACACAGTATCACAGATGCAATAAGGTAATATAAAGCTACCAGTAATAGCTACTACTTACCTTGGATAGTTTAAAACTGAACAAATATAATCACATGCAAGTTAAATTAACATTATACTAATTAGTTCCACCACAATACTGGTATGGATAGTTATACAAAATCAGAAAAGCTATTTAAGATACTAAAAACATTCCTATAACTTTACAACAAATGTAGTTCTGGGAAAGAAATAAAAGTAATTGTTCTGTAGTTCAGTAGAGGAAAAATATATTAAATAAATGAATTGAAACCAAATACTGGTAATACTTAATTCAAGGTTATGTTTGCTTGTATAATAAAAGATACTTATCATTGTGTTACTATATAATTTTTTTCTAACCAAATCTTTTAAATTTTTCTATAAAATTAAACTATAGAGCTAACCAGATACATGTCAGAAATACCCTGCATGGATTTGACCTAAATAATAACCAATACTGCCACTAGCACCAATGAATAATTATATACAAATCTTGGAGATCCAACATGGTTTTAATATGATAAATAAAAAACTTGCTAGAAACAACTAAATCTAAATTTTGGGAGAATTAACAGGATTTTTATTTGATTAACAACCAATCCACTAGGAACAGTGAATTCACTAAATATGAAATGGGAGATCCAACATGGTATTTGCAAAAACAACTAACAAACAAACTTAACAAAATTCTAAATTTGGAAGACTTGTTTTATGTTGGCATTATAAACTTCAAGCTCATTAATAGCTTGGATGAGTTCAACTTTATTTTTCCTGCTTTCTTAAAATGTCATTAATGACTTAATTATTAGGAATTTATTATTTTCTGTGCATAAAGGCGTAGCATTTGTTTCTTTGGTTACAAGAATGATGTTTCATATACTTTATAAAGGATGATTTTTTTTTTCAACTAGTAGTATTTTTACTAAATTCTATGTTAATCTCAAACATCATAAAATCTTTTCATCTATATATGTCTGGAATGAATACTTGTAGATAACCTCACACTTTTACAACTGTTGAAACATTTTATACACATTCTCATAAAAAAAGTAAATAGTTTTTAATTTTCATGTATTGATTAATCAAACAATTTAAAGTGTAATACTTTAAAACAAATAAAGTTTTTAAAATGTTTATATATGATAATTGTCACTTAAGTGACAATTATCTCTGTCATTTAAAAGTTGATTACAAACAGATCTAGCAAGTAATCACTAGTCTATTTTCAAATTGCAACTTTTTTTGATCTCGTAAACATGTATTTTTAGATTTTGTGTTAATAAATGAAGAGAAACTTGATTACCTTCTTACATGTGATCTACATGCTTGCATAAGACATAAGTACTTGTATATAGACTCCACAGTAAAATAATTTCTCAGTAAATTTTTCATTTTAATGAAGTTTTAGCACTTATTAATGCCACTATAATTTTTAAGTTACTTACTGAAAATGCAACACATACACGGTTCTTCCACCACAAAGACTATAGTGTTGTTATTTTACAAGAAAAAAAACCTAATTTATTTACACAAGTACAATTGTGTACAAATTACACAGCAGGAATATTTTTCCAAAGATGGGTAAGATAAACAATTATATACTAATGGAATTCAAAGCACCAGAGATATAGTACACTTGCAATACTTTATGGACAAGTAAGTATATTTGCTTTGGTTCTTAATGTGTGTGTCAAACGTTTTGCTGAGAGTTCTTAACCACGATTCTGAAGCATTAACCATATCACAAACGAAGGCAGAAACAGTCCTCAAGAAATTCTAGTTCTACTATTCTAATCCACAACATGATATCCGTGATAAAAATGTTTTTGAAGTGGAAAAATGCACTGACCTACTACATCTTTTATAAGTTATTTAAATACATTTGTTCTTGAATTTCAAACCTACAAAATTTTTTAACATTATTGTTCCAAATTTAACCTGGAAACAAAGACAAAATCTAATTCTAAGAAAATGTGTAGCATATTACTAAACTTCATGGAACATAGCATTAAGTTTTAATGTTGAGTTTAAGTACATCAAATTGATAAACTTGCATGTTTTTTTTTTTGTTCCAATTTATGGTAAAAGAAAACTGAGGTTATTGTTTATTTGTTTTGTTGGAAAACTCAACAGTTATGTGGAAAACAGATTGAAGGAGTTTGATAAAAACAAAAGTGAGACCTAGTTTTATTCACTTTAGCCTTTAAAGCAATTACCTAAAACTTAATCAAAGTTAAATAACTGAACAGAGATGTAATATGTTAATATTAACATACTTTAGACAAAACAACTTAAATTCCAGAGACTATTGAAAATGAAAATGTGTTGAAAACATGGCAACAGTATCTGGATTTAAGCTTTTTAGATTTGTCACTGAAAAAAAAAATCATATTATTTAAAGATTAATTCAGTGAATTAAAATTTTACAGATCTTTAATTGGGCTACAACTACAATCTTGAAAACAAGTCTTTTTAATAAAAAAGATTATGACAAACAACACTGTTAATTTTTTAAAAAGGGAAACAAACATTTTGGAATTCCATCCTCAGTATCTTCTGTAAAGACTAGGTCTAAGGTCAATGAACAAACAATGTTCCTCATAAATGCTGTAATCCTTTTTAGTACCAAACTTTGTTTTCCTTTGAACACATCAAAAATCAAGTATTTTTAAATAATAATCAAGACAAAAATTTAACAGTGATTAACATTTGTTCCACAATTTGAGAATAGGAGAGATGGAAAATAGAGTAAATACTTGATATTAACCTGATATATGAAATAGTCAACTAATCAGTTAAGTCCAAATTATATATATATAACTTATTATACAGAATTTGCTCTTGGCAATAAAGATCAGAGTAAATAATATTTAATTGGTATTTACAATCATTTTATCTAAACACTATAAACTACTGTAATATGCTTTTTCATTACATTTTATATTGATTGAAAATGAAAACATTGGGTATTTAAATCTACTAATGAATAGAATAGACCACTACATTGTAAAATTTTTTAATTGTTTCTGAAAGTTTAAAAACATTCTTAAATAGTCTTCATGATGTGGGCATCAAATAATTTCAAATCAAAATATAAAACAATTCTTATGAGAATAATAAAGTTATCCCTTACCAGCAAACATTATTTTTACATTAGGTTAAAGGATACTATATTGAGCAAAAGCAGATTATCAATTTCATATATGTTATGATAATCCATTACTATAGATGTGGTAACTGCAATGACACTTCTATAGATATTATGCATCATCTCAATGTACACATTAATTAATGAAAAATGATTATTAGTAAAGCTTCAAATTACACCAACCTAGCAATCTCAACTCTCTGTTCACATTGTCACAATAGCCTAAATAACTATAAAACACACTAAACTAATTTCATTTTGAAAATAATTCTCAAATATAGTTTTTTCTTATTATAGTTTGTCTCTGCTTTATTTTACTTTCAATAACAAGTACCATTAATCATTGCTGATAATTCCTCTACTTAAAGAAATACTACAATTTCAGCATATTTTTAAAAATCCTGTTAACTTGCGTTATATTTAGAAGTTAATGATTTATGTAGCCCTCCTATAGAATAAACATGACAGCATATGCAAAATCAATGGGAAAAATTTTACACTGAGAGATCATTCTCTTCACTTAGTAAAATTTGTTTAACCATTACACTAAGTTTTTTTTCATTGTCCACAAAATTTACATAAATAATATGTATAGAAAAATTCAATATTTATGTTACATACATAAAATGTACATGCAGTATGAAGAGTTTTAAAAAAGTATCATTTTCTTTTTAAAATGAAATTATGCACTTTACAGCTGCCTAAAATTGTTAAGAACTGTTAAATATGGCAGATTACACCACATGACCCAGTAAACAAAGTTCAACAGAATAACTACAAACAACAGCTACCATACATATGGAAAAACAAATTTGGCAACAAATACTCAAGAACAATATAAGAAAATAATTTTGGTATAAAATTGCATTTTTTGTTTAGAAACTTCTCTTTTGCTTTTCAAATCAACATACTCAACTATTTTTTACAGTGATAAATATCAACTTTAAAGTATGCCAAACAAATGCTAACAGAAGGTCATGGCTATTCCAAAAACTATTTTATTGATTTTTAAAAATAAACATGTATGTTTCATATAAGGAACTATTATAAAGTAAAAGATACCAAGTAGTGATTTAATGTAAGAAAAGGAAAAACAAAGTGAGAGAGTGATACTCCTTTCTAGAAATTCTTTGCCAAGTATAAATTTTTGACAAATAATGTAAGCATACTGAATAAAAGTACTGTTTTCAAACTTGATATGCCATTTATTCAGAATTTGAAAGAAAAATCTAAAATGGCCATTATACACCAAACCCAAATAAGTAAAGATGTAACATACTAACCTTATTGAAAATATATTATGATTAATATATATATATATATTTTTGTAACAAAAAGTTGAATACAGAAAATGCAGCAATATCTGTTAATTATAAACACTACTTGTAATGTTATGATTTATTACAATTATGTAAAAAATACTTTGTACAGAATAATAATTTGAATCTAAGGTTAAATGCTGAACGATATAAACTTTATTCTGAGATATATCTTTATATATAAACACACACACACACACATATATATAAATATAATGTTTGTGCCAATCTCTCTGTCTGTCTGTGTGTACATATATATGCAGATAGACAAGTAGTAATGTAATTATTATTACCTTAACTTGACATAAAGTATGCTATATGTCAGTGTCATAATTTTGTTTTCGTTATGATTTTTAAAGATATGTCTATTATGTCTTTTTACCATCGTATTCATGATCAAGAGGCTAAAATCAACAAAATAATGCAAAGGTGCCAGCTCCTAGAATATTTGGAAAAAGTGCATTTGTAAGACTTAAATTTAAAAATCAATAATTTCTGAAACAGTATAAACTCACCAAACTTGTGGTACAGTGTGACCGGCCTATAAATAATATAACTGCTTCTTTAAAAAACATAGCCATCATTATTAATACTCTTCATGTATCAGATATATGATTTATATAATGTAATCAATCTCCAGTCTACAAACCTTGAAGCATGGAATTCAACAAATTTTTCTGTTTCTTTTGTATGTTTATCTTTCAATGCACAATATCATCTCTCAAAACTGTGAAACCATAATTGCTTTGTTCTAAATGAATTCCAAAAAAATAAAGAAGTTTCTAATAATATTACTCAATAATTAAGTACAGATCATAAAAATGAATGAATATTTTGGTATATAAATGTGAAAAATTCAAAATAAAGAATATAATTAACATTTTGAAAGTTACACAAAATGGACACTATGTCATAAAGAAGTGAATATTACAGTAGGTTCAGCATATTAAACATTTTCAGTTTTTTAATTTAAAATTTTATTTGGATTTTGATGACAAAACTTGTGTGTGGATAAAAACTGCTGTTTATGTTTCTTTGATATTACATGAACCCATGTTTTAAATAGTTATTTCTTTCAATCATAAGAATAGTATAAATCTGTTATCCTAATTGTCATCCAAATTTCTTCAAAAACTACACAAAAATATGAAATCACTCAGTCATTTAGAAGATAATTTTAATAGACATATTTCATAGTTTAATACTGTTAAGAAATTATTTGAAACTGGCTTTCATCCAAAACTTTAAACATATGATAGATTTCACAATATTATTTGGAAAATGTATGTTATGTTTATCAGTTTCTTTTACATGTAATGCACATGATAAAAGTTCCAAGTGAACATACCGATTCACACCTGTTCCAACTTCACAAAAAATATGATAAAAAGTGTTTCACAATGTTAGAAAAACACTTAACTTGCAAAAGTCTCGACAGAAATGAATAAAATAAGTGTTTGTCAGTCACTGTCAAAAACTTTATACTGTGAAATGGCAAAGAAAATAAGTACCTCTGGGTGAGAAGTATTTAGTTACTAGGAACAAATCTATGTAATTTGAGGTGTTGATAGGAATGGAAGTTTGTGTAAGGCATAATGAGGCACATTCTTAACATGCAGTTTAAGTTCACTCAATCCTTGTTGTGGAAAAAGTAGAATATATATATATATATATATATATATATATATATATTTTTTATTTATAATTATTTTAATTAACCTTGTTTAAAAAAACTAAATTTAGGTGGCTAACATAATGTATGAAGGGTCAAGTTAACAAGTGTCTAAAATCAACAAATGAATTAATTATTATTTAAACGTAGTGAAAAACAAAACATTAATGCAAGTTAGAAAAAATATTGTTAATCCATTTAGTTGTACAATATTAATTCAATTAATATAGAATTAGTAAATCTTGCAGCTGATTCTATAAAGTAACAGCTAGAATAAAAACTGGTAATGCCAAAATTGCAGAATAGTTCTAAGCTTGATCTTTATGAAGATTTCAATCTCAATCATAGAGGCCAGAAAAAATGCATCAGACCCAATATTGTTTTCCACGTTAATAGATGAATAAGATTCATCTACAAACATTGATGTACAAGTCATGGGAAGCTGCTGCAAAGTCCTACAAATGACATAATAGTTTTATTTTGAATTATTATTACAAAAGAATGAATACCTATCATTGTTCTTATTAAAGATTTTGGAGAAGTGTGCGTCTTCCTCTTTCATAGTCTTCTTCATCAACGTTTACAAGAAGTTTTATAGCCTCATTTCCAACAGCTTGTTTGAGAGAATCTGTAATGAAAACACCTGGAAGAAGAATTTTTTTTTTCTTTTAGAAATGATGAAATTAGATAATCATCAGGTCCCATTACAAGCTAGTTGATTACATTAATATCAATGCAATATTCACAACTGGTGTAGCTCTCAACAAAAAACAGAAATTGTTTAAAAAGCTCTCAGTTCTTAGTTTCTCAGGGTTTACTAAATGCCCTTCCATTACGTGTTGCGAATCCTAACCTACAGTGTTAGTTTCAGACTTCTGATGGTGCTGGGCTTTTGTGTCTCCCTTGAGAAACCAAAGTCCTTGTTTAGCTATTTTTGGAAAATGTTGGCCACACTTGAGTATTTAGTTCAAATGACTGCCCAGTGTGTGTTGAAACATGTTTGATGTATTGCACACAAAGCTCAAAACAGACTACATTCAAGATTAATTCAGTTCACGACTGATCTGTTAGTATCATAATATAAAATGTAGAGTACATGTATGGTTGTCCTAATAATTTTTTTTTAAATCACATTTTATATTGAGTCCATTTATTAAATACTAAAAAAAGTATAAGGTGATCCTAAAGAAAACCACATTTAAAATGATTATAAATAAAAATAAGTGTCCTAGAAGAATTAAATTTTACCAAAGGAACATTGAGGAATATGTTTTCTTCATGAAAGTTTGGACAGGGTACAAAAGTGTATCAAAAAAATTTTTCTACACTAAGTTGTTCTAATATAGTTTTATTGTCTATTTATTATACACATTATTATAATACATAATATATATATATATATATATATATATATATATATATAGATTGGGGTATTTGAACCAACAGTTCAAACAATTTTCATGTGTGGGAGCATAAACTGGAAACATTTATTTCTTTACTATCAGTCTATATAAATGATAAATAGATTTCACATATTATTATTTGTTTATAATAGTACAAAGCAGACGTTACACGGAAAAAACGCAGAAATTAATGAAATAATTACAATTGCAATACACCAATATCCTCATTATCAATGAACAAAAAAATTGTTTTAATGTGGTAACTGTCACTGAAGTTATTGATTGAAAATTTTATTATGGGTTGTAGTAAATATATTTACACAATACAGGTGGGCAATTAGTGGAACTTGCTAATCAATTAGTCATCAGATTCATTATTAAATTATTCACAAAAGATGCTTAAAAAACTTGTAACTCCACATAAAAGACTTGTTAAAATTAGCAAATTGGATGGAAAAAAGCAGAGGGTTGCTACAAATGAAATTCAGTCAAACTGGATTAATGTTACAATTCTAAATTGTCTTTTCAGACACTTGATTCCATGACATAGTTAAAAGATGCAGGGCCTCTAGGTTGCACTCAGTTGTTGCATGTCCTCCATATTTTCTGTGATTCTAGTGCACATTTCTCAACAGTGATAAGCCTTTAATGCTAGGATAATTCCCTGATTGCATGGTTGGATCAATGACATTGTATTTGTGGGTAAGAAAATAACCTTAATGTGTTTTAATGACACATTAACAACGTGTACAGTACAGTTTTCAACAAGCAGAACAATGCTGTATTTCAACTCATTATCCCATTTCATTAACCAATTATTAAATATCAAGGCTGTCATACAAGCATTTGAATTTGAGCAGTAGTCAATGGGTAATTTATTCATACCTTTAAAACACCGTGGATTCTTGTTTTATCTGACCACCAAAAGCCTTTTTTTTGTTACCATACATATTCACACAGGTAAGGCATGACAATAAAGCCCAGTTTCATCTGCATTGTAAGCATTATCAGGCAAATATTCAGCAATAATTTTAGGCCATGCTTCTTCAATCCAAGTTTCTGCTGCTGAGATATCAGCATCCTTTTGCTCACCATGAGTGCGTTTGTATACAATGTTTTCCAACAATCAAACCACCCATCCATTGCAACAAAATTATTTTCCTATTTTCATAACTAGTTCTTCTGCTTTCTGTCGCATCATTGTATCCGTTTACATGAGCATCTTGTTCACAAACTTTAGTAAACCAAAATTTTAATGCTGATTCGACCTGGTCAACTTTTCCACTGCATTTGCTCTTACAGTTTAGGTTTTCATTCTGTTTTGCTCCCTTCTCAATGTTGGCTCAAGTTTTTAAAATTTAACATAAAAGAGGTTGGGAAATTTTTAAGTGCACTGCTGCATTATGTTGTTCTATTTTTGGTAACTTATCATAGCATTCTAAAATGGCAACTTTTTCTTTGAGGGTTAGATCTTTACATTTCTTATGCACTATTTCCATTATTAAACAGGGTTAACAAAAACTGAAATTTGTGGGAGCACCGTCTTTCACGAAGGAATGAAAACAACTGTACTGTAATTATGGAAAGGAAATGCAAGAGCGTAGGGGATCTTAATGACAACTTATCCATGCCCTAATTTATGGTGAACCTTTCTCAGGTCATTTTGACCTTGAGATGGTTAAGCTGATTAAAAGTGATAACAAAAAACGAAGCGCTGATTACAATAAACAATGTTTTTCCTATGTATTTTTATACGTTTGGTCAGGACTTAGTAATTCTGATAATGTTATAAGAATGATAACATTATCCATGATCACAATAAGCAGCATCCAGTGTATTACTGTTGTTGGTTATTCCAACTATCCAGTAACTGAAATATTGCTATTATAACTTTCTGTATTGTATTTAGTTAATTCAAGTTTGTTTAGTTTAACTGATTAGTCTTACAACTCAAGAAAATAATCAACTAATCAAAACTAAGGTTCCTGATTATTATGATTTTGGGTTATTCCAATTATTCAACTGATTGAAATGCTTGATAACCTGACAAAGCTTCACAATGGGCAGTGTGTGCTCTAACCACTGCAGGCATTAAAACCCAACTAAACATAATGTTTTCCGACAACATGGGACCTATTGGTTCATCTTTGCTGTCCCATCTTTTAAACAATATTAAAACTATTATTAAAAAAAAATCTTAAAGCCAGCCCTCATCATTCATTTATTTATCAAGCTTTCTCATAAACACATTTAAATTTACTGCCTCCACAACATTCGAAGGCAACCCATTCCAAAAGCCAAACAACTTTGTTAGACAAATAAAACTGTCTTAACTGAAGATGACTTCTCTGTCAAAATTTATATTTGTGTCCCCAGTCCTACTATTCTTACAATCAAGTATGAAAAAAGATGATGCATCAATGCTATCAATTCCCTTTACAATCTTAAACTCCTCAATCAGATCCCCTCTAACTCTTCTTTTTTCAAGAGAAAACAATTTGAGAGATCTTAACCTCTACCCATATGACAACCAGGGATAGAAATAATGAAATAAAATTACAATCACTTGAGGGAAAGCTATCAGGAATATTATATTTCCTTGTGTAAATTTGCATTTCCTCATGAATTATTTTTTTATATTTAATCCATGCAATATGTCCACTTTCATTGGTCATAACTAAAGGAATACAACTGGACCATGCATTCCCGATCGGGAGAGTCAACTAAAAAGATGAAATTCCTCAAGCAAAGTTAAATTCCTCAGGAAAGCAGGAATGTAATACTTCAATCCTTGAGGACAACCCTTCCATCCCAGGCACCATTTTAGTAACCCTTTCCAACAATTCAATGTCTTTCCAAGACTGAACACAATACTCCAAATGTGGCCTAACCAGTGACCTATACAATGAAATTATAACCTCTTTAGACTTGTATTCAATATTTCTGTAGATACAACCTAAAATCCTATTTGTCCTACCACAAGCAACAGCACACTGCTTAGATGGCTCAAGAGACTGATCAACCCCTATACCAAGATCCCTTTCTTTCATGACACTGTTAAGGTTAGTCCCATCCAAATTATAATTCAAATTTTGATAACTCACATGCATTATCTTGCATTTATTGTAATGAAAACCCATCTGACATATATTTACCCAACTCACTAAATGATCTAATCCATTTTGTAAATCAGCAGCATCATCTTCACAATTAGCAATATACCCAAGAACTTAATATTATCAGTAAAGTTAATTTATTGCCTATCTATGTCATTGATGTAAATCAAAATGAGCAGAGGTCCTAAGATTGAGCCCTGCAGTACCCCTCTTGTGATATTAATCCAATTTGAATGAACTCCATTTATAAAATCCCTCTGCCACTTTTCTGTCCAATTAGCTAACTTATCTCCCACACCTACAGAGAGAATTTTTTTTATAAGCCTTTCATGTGGCAAATTGTCAAATGTTTTCTGAAAATCCTGATACATCAAATCTACATTCTTACCCTCATCTACATAAGCAGTAACCTTTTCAAAGAATATCAAAATATTTGTAAGGCAAGATTTTCCCTTTGTGACATGTTGACTATCTAATAGAATTCTAAACTTTGTTAAATGACTTTGCAAAGCATCTTTTAATTGACTTTTCATAACTTTTCCCACAACTGACATAAGACTAATAGGCTACAATTAGTTGGATAATTTTTATCACCTACCTTGAAAAGAGGAGAAACATTAACCAGCTACAATCCTCTGGCACAGGCCCAATATTCAATGACTTACAAAAAATAGTAGCAAGTGGGTCACATATCCAATCATTAGCCTCCTTCAAAACCCTTGGAAGAAATTATTTAACTCAGGAGCCTTATTGTGTTTAAACTTCCAAATTGTTTCTTAACAAGCTTAGAATTAATGTGATAATTTTGTTCAACCTTGTTTCCATCTGTCAACTGTTCAAGATGAGGAATATTCCTTAAGTCTTCATTAAGCAGAATTTAATAACCCAGCCATCTCATAATCATCAGTTACGAGCCTTCCTTTATTATCCCTCAAAGGTCCTACCCCCATCATCATCATCATCAT